GAGTATGAAGGTGTCTCTGGTCAAGTACCTACATCCCAGGTGTGTGGTCTGATTTCTCTAAAATCTGTACTCCATGGCCACAGCTTCCCCAATGTTTTTAAGTGACAAAGTTGATCTGTTGAACTTTCTTTAGCTTTTTCTCCAAATCCCACAGATGGAAGTTATCAGCAGACCTGATTTCTGGGATGTCAGAAACTGGTTGTTAATTTTTGAAGTCTCAGGTCAGTCACACTGGCTGATATTAGAAGACCTCCAGGTCTCTAATTGCGGTCTCCCAAACAAGAATAAATAAAGTAGCTGTGTCATTAAAATGGTTCTTCAGAAGAGAGAAACCCTCGCCAAAATAGTTAGTGGGAGGCTGCTTCTGAAATTGCAAGGCATGTCTTACTGGCCAGCATAGGAGCAAGCTTGGCCTGGAGTTATCAAAGATGGCAGAAGTCAGGTAGAAAGGGGATGCAGTTCCTGCAACGTAGCGTCTTGCTCACCTCATCTAGTCCTAGTTATGTGCTGGGCGCAGCAAGAACGTCGTGTTTCCTCTCAGCTTGTTTCTTTGAGCGTATTCCAGCCTTGTTTTAGTTGCTTTGCCAGGCCCTGGTGTGCCAGAAGCACGTGCCTTAACAGCTGTGCAGATACGGCTACGTGACAAATTCGAAGGTGAAGTTTGTTATGGTGGTGGATTCTTCAAACACAGCACTTCGAGACAATGAGATCCGCAGTGTAAGTGGAGGAAATCAGAGCACAACTTGCTGCATCAGTGTTTTTGCTACTTCCACTTATTCATAATGTGCTGAGGAGAAAAAAAAAAAAAAATTAAACTACAATCCCTTTTCAGATGTTCCGAAAGCTGCATAATTCGTACACGGATATAATGTGTAACCCTTTTTATAACCCTGGGGACCGTATCCATTCCAGGTAAGTGGGTTGACCGTATTGATCTTTGTCATCTTTCTGGAACTTGCAGTGTACCTATGATGCAATAGGACCAAGACCATAACCCCTGTGGTTGACCAGTTCAGATGTGCATGCTCTGACTGCCCAAATGGAGAACAGCTGTGTTGTCTTTGGGCCATTACTGCATAACAGAAAACTCTGATAAGTCTCATGAGAAGTTACACTGAACTCTCACTCCCACCTCCGAACTGGTGTTAGAAACGCTGGCTCAAGAAAAGTAATTTCTTGGGGAAGAAAAAGTTACCTGTTTCGTAGGCAAATATGAGCATAAACGTAGATAAACAGAGCAGGTTAAACAGAGTGAACAACTGTGCTTGTCCAGGGCTTATCCTTGGGTAGGGACAGACGGGCATTCAGCATGCGTAATTCCTCACGTGCGAGGGCCGGTGCCCCCCATTTCTCATCTGGAATCTCACAGGGAATGTTAATAATGTTGAGAGTTTCTGTTGCCTAGGGAAGAACAACTTTTACACTTTGCTGAGGGAGGTCTACAGCCAGGATAGGACCTGTCCTTACTTCAGCTTAATGAAAAGTCATCATTCACTCAACAGAGCATGCTGTAGTTAAAGAGTGAAACCATGCATTCAGCCTGGGGAAAGCCACTTTGTTAACCAGCAAGAGGCATTGGTAGCCATTGGTTTTGTTACAAGAGATCTGCTGGGCAGAACTAACTGCTTCCTTTAATATTCTGTGTTCATTTCCTTCTCTAGGGCTTTTGATAATATGGTGAACTCCATGATGATGCAGGTGTGCTGAGGCTCTGCCCCTTCTCATCTGAGTGTTGAGAACATTCCCTGTGTACAGGAGCATGCCTGTGAAGTGATGTATATATTGTCTTCTGTGTAATATTTTAAATTTATTCTATGTAAAATAAACTCGACACCTGCAAGGTTTGCATGCATTTCTACTCTAGCAAACCTGAGTATAGCACTGAAGTCACTGTTCAGCTTTATGCCTGCAGGTAACATGTGAGAGCCAGCTCTTCCTTGAGGAAGGTCAGCTGTGTCAGGTAGGAGGCTTGTTCCCTACAGAAGTGCGTGCAGCTGTGCCTCTGTGCAACTCAGATGTTTCTCTAGAAGTTTGTGTTTGTTCCTGCTGTGCTCATGATTAGAGCAAGCACACCTGCAGAAGAGACAGCTAAGATTATTGTGAGGGTCAACCTAGATTTCAGTCAGCTGAGAGGCACAGGCAGTGCCACTGTTCCTCAGAAGCACTGGTGCTTCAGAGCAGTTCCTCTGAGGCAGGAGCAGCACATCAGCAACAGCAGTCCTTTTGCTCTTTGCCAGCCCCCTTTGCTGCTGCTCAGGACTGTTTATTCTGACAGCAACATCACCAGCAATGCTTAATTTAAACATACTCGGGCTCCTTGTCCTGCTTTTCCTTAGCTGGGAGCGCTCGGATCTGTGTGTACTTACTCTGTTAGTTCTTGGAAAGAGAAGACTGCAAGTCAGCCGAAGGCTCCAGGTTTCTCTACAACCCCAGGCACTGTTTGTGAACTTGAGAAAGCTCTGGCAGACAGCAAACAGCTGCTCTCAAAGCACCACCTTGAACCTGATCAAGCCCTGCACTGATCTTGCCTTCCTGGGGAAGATCTTTGGGTGACTGAGCTTTGACAGTATTTGCTGTTATCACTTCACACCTCATTCAGACAGGCCAGCCACACTTCACAGCATTTCTAGCCCAGGTCAGGGAGCACAGGTAGCACAGCTGGGATAAATCCACACCAAGAGATTAAGACCTCAGGATTGCACAGCTGCCTGGCTCATCCCAAACTAATCTCTATTAGCATCTCCCCCCCCTGCAGCTCCCTGCTGTTCTAATTAAAGACTACCAAATCAATAGCAGGTATTTATATAGAAAAAGAAATACAGGCTAGACTAGAAAAGCATCCCAGCTTCTTAACTGCTTGTGCAGGACACTCGCACTACGCAAGGCTGTGCAGCTACAGCAAGTTCAGCAGAGGTAACACAGGCAGGCATAAGCACTGAGCAGCTACTCACTGCTTTTCATGCACCTCTACTCAGAGTCTTCCCTGCCCCACAGGCAGCAGTCTGTGCTTCAAGCACCTAATCAGTTAAAAATACATAAAACATAGCTAAAAATAATAATAAAAAAAAAAGCTGCACAGCTCCAAAGGATACAAGAAGCTTGGAGAAAGCCAGGTCAGCGTAGAGTGTTAGCTCACAGCCAGCGCAGTCTCACCGCAGAAGAAGTTTACACAGCAGGATCATTTATTTTAAAAATAAGTGACATTTACAGTACCTTCTCAAACAGAACTTAAATACATTTAATCAACAACAACCTGTCAAATAATGGGAGATGAAAGTGTTTGAGCCTCTCCCACCATCTAAACAAGGCAGAGCTGCACACTGCTATTCCAAAACATTTTCATATAAAAAAAACTTTACTCTTTTTACTCGCAGAGATGGGAGCTCAGCGTTTCCTCTTCCACAAGAGAGTCCGAACACCCCAAAGTAGTTTTTGTTAAAAATTAAGTCTCGAGAATTTACAAAGCTACTAAATAGAAAGCTTAAAGCCTTAGAAAAAGCCAGTTTTATAGTCTAAGGGTAGCTCGGCTCAAGGCTGGCTTCAGCAGCACAGTCCATGCTGGGCAAAGTGCAAAATCAACACAACATGAAGAGTTAAGGCCCCAAGCTTTAAAAAAAATCCTGAGATCTTAAGGGGAGGGGGGGGGAAAATCAGTGGGATTTTTAGCCTGGCAATGCCCCCTGAGCTGTGAAAAGCTGCTTTAGGAGTCAGTCGCATCTGTGGCATCTGGGTTAGAGGAATCCTAACCAAGGATCCCAAAAGATTAGCGTGAGAATTACATAATAAAACCGATTTCAATGCAGAACTTCGCACAGTAACGCGGTCTGCTGGTGTTCGCAGCCTGCCTCTTTCAACACAAAGTTCTTCCTTTAAAAACGAGCGGTTTCAGAGCTCATAAACACCAGATCAGCAGGACGGGGAAGTGCCAGGCACCGCTTGGTCCGCGGGAGTTCCCCGGTACCCAGCTCCTGAGGTGCGCTTCGATCCCGACCCTCTGGTTCAGCTGGGCTCACGCCATCCCCAAACGGGGATCTTGAGCAGGAATGGTGATGGGAGTAAAGAGGAAGGTCAGACCAAGTTTGCAACAGTGGCGATAATTTTGCAATACTGCTAGAAATAAAGTAAAATGATGAGTTGGCAGTGCCCTTTGATCCCTGTAGCTTTGGAATAAAAGCAGGAGTGCGGGGGAAGATGGGGTCATCGACTTCTGAAATAGAAGGGGGGAAAGGTTTTGTGACACCCAAATCTTGTTTAACCACCACAGAGATACAGAGGCTTCCAGGGAAACAGCAAGATCCCTTTTCCTTCCCCTGGTTGTTAGATGTACAACAGCAGCAAGCTAAAAACCAGACCCAAAAGGCATCATTAGGCTCCATCCTCTTCCCAAGAGCAAGGTCAGAAATCCACAAGGCTGAGTTAAGGACAAGCTCCCCAGCAGTCAGGTCCGGAGCAGCAACCCAAGACTTTCTCTGCTGATCTGGAGAAGAAAACCAGTCTTTGGAAAGGTGTTTAGGATCTTCTTACAGGCAAGAGAAAGCAGCTCCTGTAGAAACAGCCAAAGCTGAGGGTGCTTCACAGGCCGAGCAGGACAGGTCTGCCCTCACAGGGGGGTGGAGGGTGCTTGGACAGCTAAAAACCAACCCAGGTTTTTCTACGGGATGAGGATGAGACTTGATGGTCTGGGAAAGCCCTTCCCTTCCCAGGACAGGGTGTTCTCTGGAATGAGATTGTTCTCGATGAAAACACGATCCCCTAAGCAAAGCTAAGGTGAACCCCTCCTGAGATGCTGGCAGGGATCTGGCCGATGCGCGGGTGGAGCGGATCCGGTCTTCCCTCCCACAGCCCCGTACTCCAGCTGCCTTCACCAGTAATCCTCACAGCCAGGCAGATGGCATTTTAAAATTAATCTTTTTTGGCTTGGGTAGGCATATTTTTAAATCTCTCCAATCCCATCTCCTCATTTCAGTCCCATTGGCATCACCAGGGCAGTCCAATCCTTTCTAGTATGGAAAATACCACGGCAGCAGCCTTGCCCGACCCCTAAATGAGAACAAAAAACAGCATCCTAAAGCAGTGGGGCATTGCTCAGCTGAGATGTCAGCTGTGCCAAAAAGCACAGCTACTTACTCCTCCACCCCTCCAAGAGCTGGGATTCGCCCTTCTGCCCCAGCTAACCCAGACTGAACCCCCAAAAACCAGGCACGGCTCTGGGACCAGTCAGGCTGGGAGGGTGATGCCCACCTCCCACCCCCCAAATCCCTGCAGGGACAGGGGGACAGTAGCAAGATGCCAGGCGTTTCTTCCACCCCCAAAACTCCTCCCCGCTTCCTCCCACGGCACTGAAGGGGCCGGGGCATCCCTGAAGCTAATCCACAGCCAGCTCGCGGATGCACGAGCAGCGGGAGGCGCGCCGGAGAACGGCTCCAGGCCTGTGCTGGGGATGCGAGGGATGCCAGGACAGCGGGGATGGGGCTGCCAAGCCATCGTGGGCTGCTCGCTTCGGTCCTTCCCCATCTCGGCTGCCCACAGTCCCCCCAAAGTGGGATCCGTATCCCAGCCGGACCAGCTGCCAGGCTCCTGCCGACCCCACAGACACCGGGGTGATGCTCGCAACGGGCAGGAGACATTTCTAGCACAAGTCTCCGGGACGATACTCCTGCCAGAGCTCTTCTCCATCCTCCTATCCATGCCGGGGTGGGAAGCGCAAAGCCGAGATGCTGAGCGCAGCCGGAGCAAGGAGCAGCTATCCCCATCCTGGGGACCCCCTGCTCCACAGGGATCTTGACCCAAATACGCGAGGGCAGCCCGCACCCAGGCACTCACCTGTACGTCCTCCCTCGCACCCTCGGGGGCTGCCCTCCGTAGTACCCTCCCTGCTGGGCCAGCCCTCCCCGGGCTTGGAAGCGGCCCCGGTAGCCCCCGCGGTCGGTGGTGCTGATGCCCGGCATGTTGGTCCTCTTGGGCAGCACCTGGAAGGCAGGAGGGGGCTCAGCCGGTGCTGCCGGCACCGGGGTTCGGCACAGCCCCATGCACATGGAGCTGGATGGATGGACGGAGCACCCCAGGGCCTCATCCAGCTCTCACCTTAATGACACGGCCTCTGAACACACTCTCGTCCAGCTCCACCGCAGCCTTCACGGAGCTCTTCTCTTCAAACTCAATGTAGGCATACCTACAAGGGGAGGGGGTGAGCAGAGCCCCGGGGACACCCCGCTGCTCCCAAAGGCTGGGGAGCGCAGGGCAGCGCCCTCGACACCCTAACCCCAGCCCCCACACACAGTGCTGACCCTTTGGGATGCCCCGAGAACTTGTCGCAGAGGATGGTCACTCGGTTGATCTGCCCACAGCTGTTGAAGTGAGACTCCAGCTCTTCCGCCGTGCCCCCGTAGTCCACCTGCAACGACAGTCCCAGCCCCTCCAGTGCCACCAGCCAGCCCACCCAGCCCGTGGATCCGCATTTGCCTGGCTGACCCCAGTCACAGCTTGCCACCACGGCTTCACCATCTCCCGAGGTTCAGGAGACCCTTCCAGCTGAATGCTCCAGCCAGGAAACCCAAATCCAAGAGACCGCTCCCCCTCTTTGAGGGAACAAGCAACGCTGCTCGACCCACAGCTTCCAGCGGGGTATTTTGGGGAGCTGACACTTGCAACAGCTTGTCTGCAAGTGGCTGAGGATTGCGGGCAGATGCTGAGCCACATTCCCAGTCTGGGCTGGGCAGAGGGGAACCATTCAGGATGGGACCAACCAGCCTTTGCTGGGGGATGGATGGGCCCCCATGCTAGGGATCTCGGACATATGTCCAGCTGGGCAAGGAGCAGCGAGGTGGGCTCTGGGGAGCGTCAAGTTGCATCAGGGGAGGTTTAGATTGGATATTGGGAGAAATTTCTTCATGGAAAGGTAGTCAAGCATGTGACCAGGCTGCCCAGAGAGGTGGGGGGGTCCCCATTGGGCAGAGGTGGCACTTGGGGACATGGTTTAGTGGGCATGGGGGTGTTGGGTTGATGGTTGGGCTGATGATCTTAGAGGTCCTGTCCAACCTTAGTGATTCCCAGTTTTACTTTCATTAAAAAATAATCCAGCCACCAAGCCAGGAAACATGAAATGCATTATTCCTCTCCCCTTAACTGGTTTAGTGGTGGCCTTGGCAGTGTTAGGTTAATGGTTGGACTGGATGATCTTAAAGGTCTTTTCCAACCTAAATGATTCGACGATTCTGCTCCAGGGCCTCCCACTTACATTGCCCACATAGATGGATCGCTGGTCAACCTCCATCTTCTCCTTGGTTGTCTTTGGGAAGAGACCTGCAGAGACGAGGGCTGCTTTGTCGCGCCGGACAGAGCTGCAGGAACGCTCTGGCAGAGGGACGTCTGTCCGTGCAGATCCGCTCCCAGCACAGCTTCCACCGAGCTGACCCACTGCACAGCTCCCCGGGCAGGTCCGGGCATACCCAAATCCCCACACTGCTGCCTCCTCCCCCATCGAGCAAAAAAACCAAAAAAAAAAAAAAAAAAACCCACAGGGTGACTGCTCTACTGGGGCTGTTGGTGTTAAACTCAACTACTTAATTGAATTAAATTTAATTAATTTACTGCATCTTGGCCTGCAAAGGTAGGAGGTAAGAGTGGATATCACCTGCGTTAGCACCATGCCATCCCTGGGACCCCCTCCCTCACTCACCTTCCATGCCCAGCCCCAGGCTGCCAGGAGAGGCAGAGCCACGTGCTCGGGCTCCAATTGCCACCCCGTGCCCCAGAGGTGTCCCTGGGGGGGGGGACACAACGGGACAGCAGCACCCAGGAACAGTCCATACCCGCCTCCGAGCTCATGATGAGACGGCTCTCAGCTTCCAGCTGCAACTCCTTCAGCCTCTCATCCTCCCTCTCCATCTCCCGCACTCTGGCTTTGATGGCCTCCAGCTCCTGAAACCCACACCAAGAGCTGCGTGAGCGGCAAACGGAGCAGGGACACCCCCATCCCGCTGCCCACCCTGGGCTGGGGACAAGGGCGGGCTGGCTGCTGGGGACAACAGCCTGTCCCCCAAAAAGGGGACTTCAGCTCCAAGCTCCACTGCGGAGACAGGACGAGGAAAGGTTTCCTTTCCCTGCTTGCCTGCGAAGCAGCGTGTGCTGCAGCGCAGAGGCCCCAGCAGCACCAGAGCTGCCGGAGGGAGCTGGAGGTTTAAGCTGGTGACAAACAGGAGCCGTTTACTCTCGCTCAGCCAGGCGGGCATCTCGGCTGTGAAAGCTAAGCAGTAGGAGAGTGACAATTCCATTTCCAGCTTCTCAGCTCAGGGGTTTTAACGTCAGAGGCCTGAGATTATTCTTACTCTTAATTTTTGGAGGCGCTTGAAGAGAGGTGTAGAAAGTTTCCTTTGGGAAACAGGGAAAATTGACTCCACGCTCAGCCAGGCACTCACCGGGTCCGGCACAGCCAGCTCCTCCGCGCTGTCCCCCTCGAGGCGGCTCAGGTCCGAGTCTTCACCCGCAGCCTTCTGCAGAGCTGCCATCTCTGTCACATCCCAGGACGCCTCCAGCGCTGCCAGGGATGGAGGGTCCTGCCACCAAATCCCTGAAGTGTCCAGGAAGAGAGGACTGGGCGGGAAAGAGGGGCAAAAAGCCATTTAACAAACAAACAAACAGCTATCTAATACAGAAGCGAAAGCAGAACGCCAGCCAGGCAAAGCACCTGGGTGCTTCCAGCCAAAGGACGAACAGGCACCACCAAAGCACTTTGCTCTCGGTGCTGCAGGCGGGCTTGGCCCCAAGAGCTGCAGGAGTGTTGGCTGCTGGAAGGTCCCCACTTCACACCGAGACACTTCCCAACTCAGGGGGCTGCAGAAGGGACCTGGAAGCAGCTCCCCTTGTGTTAAAAAAAAAACAAACAAACAAACCCCACAAACCAAACCCAAAACAGGTGCAAGCATTGCAGCCCGCTGGCAGGGAAGAGGAGGCCTGACCTTCCTCAGCAGCAGAGCTCCCCGGCTGCGCAGGGGGAGCAGCAGGAGTCCTTCCTCCCCCAAACGAAGGCAAACCCGCCCCCTCCGAGCCCCAGGCTCCTGGTTTGAGCCCACACTCTCCCAGCCCGGGGGGGAAGCTGACCCCGCTCCGGCCCAGGGAGCCCCAGCTCCTGCCACCGCGCTGGGCCCGGCCCCGGGCCCCCGA